GATCCCTTACCCAGACGACACCTAGCGTTGAAACCTATCCTCATGTCCCTTTACGCCGTCTTGACAAGGCCTCTGAGGAATCTAAGGGAACTTCGGCTGGGGACGCCCAGAGCTGATAAGGCCTTGTCGGATCCTTCAGAGATGAAAGACCATGTAAGATCTGGTCATGTAAGAGTTCTCGCCGTGCGTATTAACCAAGCCGTGTAATCGGAAATGGATTTTTCCAACTTCACGGCTGGGGGCTAGGATCAGTGCTTATTCAACTAAGGCAAGTCGAAGGTCCAAGAGCCTTATCTTCCGAGAAGAGTTCTCCGACGACAAGGCTGAGGGCTAGGGAGAGTGTATAACTCAAATGACTGATCAAAGTCGCGACGTGAGAAGACACTCGTACACATCATATCCAGAGTAAGAAAGCTTAGTTAGATAGATTTCCTTTCTATTTCACAAGTATTCCTTACAAACCGCAAAGAATTCCAAAATATATTACATTTTTCTTAAGATGTTTGTCACAGATATACAAACACTACCAGGAAGGCCAATGCCAATCCATTGACTGGAAGATTTTCTCCGCTAGCGGAGCCATCGACTTCGCTAGGTTGTCTATCTCCACAGGATTCCTCCGAGAATGGGAAAACCCCTCGCGAAGGAACTCGAGGTGAAACTGCGGACGATGATCTCGTATACACGCCAGCACGTGCCCTCCGGCGTATCGACTCGATCGACAACACTCCTGCTTCAGGGCCTCGTCGATGCACCCGCCGATGCTTTCAAGCTGAGCACAAGCCCCGCTCAGCCACAAGATGTAGCCAGCCACTGACTCCTCGGGATCCTCACGAGGTACTCGGAGCTCCCTGTAGACAACAGCCATGGTTGTGTAATAGCTCCTGACGTACGAATTGAACCATACCTCGCGACCTCGGAGCGCCTCCACGGCCCGGTCCCTCTTCACTTCCAGAATAGTCCTCTCAAGTTCGGCGACCTCGAACTTCGTCCTCCAGTACTGGATGCGACGGTCGCGATCAGCAAGCGCACTTTCGAGGTCTGCTCGACATGCAAATACCTAAGTCAAGCTAATCAAGGCAGAAGAGGCAAAGAAAATGGAAACGACAAGAACCAACCTAAAGGAGTCGTTGCCACGTCCGTCTCCTCGGGCAGATCCTGGTCTACGACGTCCTGCGGCACATACGGCTCGAGCTCAAGTGCCGGAACGACTATAGGCAATTCAGGCTGCCTGCGCTGCTGGACATCCTCGACATCGGCATCTCTACAAACAACAAACAAAGTACCCGAAATCAAAATGCCAAAGAAAACTAAGGTGACGATTGCACACTCAAAAGCAGTCGGAACCAACGAAAAGTTTTACAAAGCGCGATTGATTAAGGGGTACAGACAAGCGGCGGCCTACTCTTCAAAAAGCGGGAGGACGGACTCCCCCAGATCATCGACTACTTCCATCACATCCTTGCGTGTGTCGCTAGCCGCATCTTCGGGAGATCGAGTTCAGGGTGCGCCAGCCTCACACACGCAAGGACGTGACACGCCCCGGTATAGATCCCGTTGGACGTCTCCTTTCCGATCCCGCGTGCTTGGAGGGGATCGCCTCCATCACCGTCGCCAGTTCCGCAAGCGAAGTCGTTAGCGAGAACTCGTCGGGATTCGCCGGGATGGTGGTCGTGACACCGCACTCCCCGGCGAGCTGGTGCAGACCAGTGTAGGTGACCCACAGCGGGCCACGGATTTCCGACAAGTTGTTCTCGAGCTCTGACATACGGTGCTCGAGCCCCTGCCATTGTCGCTCGTTGCCGGCCACCAACTCTCTCAACTTCTGGAGGTCCTCGCGAACCTCCGCCAGATCACGCGCTAGCCGGTCGGCGCGCTCATTCGCCGACGACGCCGCCGCCGCCCTCGCCTCCGCGATCTCGCGACTAATGCCGCAAGCACCAACTTTGAGGATGCGCCCCATCTCGACCTGGAGCTCCTCCCAGGTGAGGACGACAGCCGGCGGACCCCGACCAGCCGCGAGATCGCTGGCTGGGCCGCTGGGCATCACCTCGCGGCTCCTAGGCACGACCACGACCTCGGTCGAGGCCACTACAGGAGACGCGCTTGAGTTTGCTCCAGACCCATCTTGCGCCGCCTTCGCCCGCGCCCTATGAAAGACAGCCGCGTCGATCATCACAGCAAGATGATAAAATCCGATCAAGTCAAGAGCCTCAAATTTCGTCCACTTACTTCTCGCCGAGTGTCACCAGTCTCTGCCGTCGCGGAGGCGGGGGAGACGCATCCGAGGCCTAAGTAAACCGAGTACGACATGAGGGCGACATTCTCCGACTACGTAAATCAATAACCTAGGAAGCTTACCGATGGAGTGGGCGTCTTCCGGCGGTTGCCGAGCACGGAGGAAAACTTCCTCCCCTTCTTCGGAACCTTGTCGCCGCTGGTCGTGGCAGCAGCAGCAGCAACGGCCGTGTCAGACACCTCCCGGGCAACGCCCTCCTTCAACGAGGCCGCCGTCTGGTGGTCCACGAGTGGCCCGATGATGTCAGTCAGGGGGAGAGCCTGCACAACATGAAGTCATGATGCGATCTAAGAATTGAAAGGTAAAGGACCATCGACTACACTCACGTTGATCACGGCTTCACGCTCAGCCGCCTCCCTCTCGCAAAGAGGGGTGGGACTGCTAATCATCACCTGGGCAACACGGTGCTCCACGGTAGCGCTGCTCAGACCTGCAGATCGAGAACCAAGTTTCGACAAGTCAGGAGGAATGCGCATAAAAGGAGAGAAGCCCCAAAATACAAGAAAAATACCCCGAGGAGAAACCCGGGTCGCGTCCTCCGGCCTAGAGTAGTCAAAGGCTGGATGGGCTCGAGCCTGGAGCGGCTGGATCCGTCTACCAACGAAGTTGGCAGCGACTTTATACCCCGACAACCCTCATACTCAGAGGTTATCAATGATATCGATGAAAGATTGGAGGGATGGGGTCAAGGCGGGTTTTGCAGTCCAAGATGGAATCTTGTCTGGTTGCTCCTCAGGAACAATGGAGACTGGATCCGAATCTTCTATCTGAAGATAGAACCACCTCCCCCACCATTTGCTACGAGATGAGGGGCACTGGAAAGGGATGTATCGTGACTTCAGTCCATCCCGAAGTCAGAAACCGACACACCCGGATACCTTTTTGGGTTCCATCTAGCGCAACTCGTAGTAAAAGCGGAAAAGGTCAAGAAACGGCTCTACCCCAATGTAGGCCTCACAGAGATGAGAAAAAATGCTAAGGAAGGCTATGGAGTTGGGGTTCAGATGAAGCAGAGAAAGACCGTAGAAGTTCAAGACGAGAAGGAAAAACTCGGAAGGCGGAGGAAGAAAACCACAGAGAATGTAGTCCTCAACCGCAACCATGCGGCCCAGGACGGGTTCAGGTTCAGTACCTCCCGGTTCCCTCTCCATGGTCCCACGACCGGGGAGAGCGCCCTCCTCCTGCAATTTCTTCAAGGACGCGTTGCTGGAGGTGGACTTGTCGAGGTCCATCGCCGTTGGAGATCGCCGGAGAAGAAGCTGAGGCGGGCGAACTTAGGGTTTGTGTAGAAGCGGAGAAGACGAAGAGCGTTTGGAAGCAAGAAAGTTCTCACAACAGCCGGACTCCAAAATGGATTTCCAAAACTCCCTTAAATAGGCGCACTACCGACGGTGCGAATTCCACGAAAAGGAGAGAAATGGCCGCCGGAAATTTCTAGGTCCGTTGCGCGAAGCGGTTTCTTGGACTTCAATTTAAATTCACTCATAACCGTTGGACTTCGCATGGGGTTGTCAATCACTCTTTGTCTCTACGGTCCTCACACCGAGATCGACCAGTTGAGAACGACAACAACTTCGACATCAGAAGTCATGATTGGTTTCACGAGTTCATTTAAGTAGAAGTCGGGGGCTACTGCCAGGGTTACGGATAAGGTATACCCTCTACCCTTGGATGTATGCTATACGGCAATACGGTATATCGGTGCATATACGGACGTTCTCTGAACACGCTAAGGAAATCCATCACGAAGTCTACCAATGGAAAGGTTCCTACCCGTATAGGACTGGGTCGTTACTATATCGTGCATGGTCCGATGTCTCCGAGTCCTACTTGGAGACCGCCTGACCTGCGATATAAAAGGGACCCCCTAAGGGGACCTAAGGGATCGAATCTCAGAGCCTACACAACGACCACAGCCTATGAAGTCGGAGACTACAGGAGACAAGTCGTCGGGTGATCTAGGTCGATCAACTCGACTACGATCTCGTCGGTACCACCGAGTTCTACTATTCCCTTTGTAATCTGTAGTTCTTTCCATATAATCCCATATCAACTATATTAGGGCTATTACCTGCTAAGGGGCCTGAACCAGTATAATCTTTGTCTCTTGTTTTCTTGATGTCGTATTACGTAGATCCTCGTACCAGCGTACCCCAATACCCTTTATATCCGGTCTACGGGTACCCACCGTCGACAACGTATATTCACAATTAAATTTGTTTTTTTTTCACTGAGCAGAAGGGCACAGCTAGGGCATAGTAGTATTAGTCTAATTAATATGGATATAGCGAATTAGCGGCTGCTAAGCACCAAGGCCGGCCGAGCATTGCAGATATGGCCTCCAAACCAAAACTATCCTGTCAAAACCGTGTGCACCTTCCCCTAATTTATTCGCTAATATAATCTGCTGACAATACCAATGCTTCCCTCTTTAACCCCGTCCATCCATCGATTCCCCATTCTTCACGACTACTCGTTCTACACATCTCCAATCCTTTCTCGATCGATGGACATGGATGATGGAAGCAGCAAGGGTTCAAGAGCCGACGAGAGCGTCAGCTCGCTTGGCACGGACGATCATGCCGCCGCGGCGGAGCCCATGTCGTCGTCGCCGCCGCCGGCGACGGCGACGGCCAGGCCGTACTACGAGTGCGTGTTCTGCAAGCGCGGGTTCACCACGGCGCAGGCGCTCGGCGGCCACATGAACATCCACCGCCGCGACCGCGCCGCCAAGCCGGCCGGACCCGGCGCCGCGGCGCCCCCCCGCGACGCGTCCACGACGGCGGTGTCGCGGAGCGTCGATTGCTATAGCCAGTTCCGCCACCTGGCGGCGGCGTACCCAGTACCGGCGGCGACCAGCGGCGCCGCCGGCACCGCCGGCAGCAGCAGCAGCTTCACCATGTACTACGGCGGCACGGGCGCCGGAGCGGAGGCGGCGGTGGTGGCCGGCCCAAGGGAGCTAAGCCTGTTCGATGCGGCCACTGATCACGGCTTGCACCTCGGCGTCGGGCGCCGCGGCGGCGGCGGTGACGGCGGCGAGTCGCGGACACCAGAAGGATCAGAGCAGCAGGTTGCAGGTGAGCTGCCGGAGAGGGAGCTCGACTTGGAGCTCAGACTAGGGCGTCACACCAAGCAATGAACCGGCCATGATTGCATGGTAATGCAACGCTATATATATATATCGCATTGTTCATATATATATATATATATATCCATGGGATAAATATGTGTACATGAATGGTGTTTAATTAATTAATTAATTAATTGAGTGCATTTCGTTCATTTTAATGTTTCTTTGTTCATATATAAATGTGTGCTTGCTAATTTGTTTTAAAATATTGTACATAAATGATCCTGGTGCACATTTTAATTAGGATAGGTTTGCTCATTTAATTTGTTAATTACAGCAATATATCATGCATGTGGATGCATGTGATTTTATAATTATGCATTGTATTTTTAATTCTTTCTGCAATATTTAGTCCACCGTATGATTGCCAATTTGCCATGTGGTGGTGTTTTGCTCATTACCACTACATGTATGTACTACTTTCTAGTATTCATGTGTTGATCAAGAGAGTACACGAGACATCCTTTCAAGTATTTTTAGGTGGCACATCATATACTACATTCGTCTCCAAATACAACAAACTTTTAACTATAATTTAGACTTTTTGTCTATATGCATAGCTAGAAATGTTTATATTTTGTGATGGAGAGAGTATTTACTTTTCAAGTATTAAATCTTGTGTGGTTTAACAATTAAGTTTCATAACAAAATTAAGCACCTCAGTAAGAAAAAGAAATTCATGGTCCTGAGACTAGCAGTTTGGACGAGCTCAATCCTACTCAGTGCTCGCTAGCACTCTACCATGAGTTGCACAAGGTTCATTTATACAAAAATGAGTCTATATTCTGAACATTCTTTCTTGCCAGGATGACTAAAGAGAGGCCATCCAAATGTTATTAAGATCGATGTAAAAAAATTACAAGAAAATATTTATCAACGACAGAAGGCTGTTGTCTGCCAAGGATTCATTGTACAGCGAAATGTACACCCAAACCATACGCCAACTACACAAACATAAGTCGTTGATGGGGAAGCCTAGCAACAAACCGGCCGAAACTTGTGTGGCCTATCGTAGCCAAAAAGCACCGTAGAAGGAACTCTAATAAAACGATGCCTCCAAGGAGGTTAAGATTGAAAGGACACCGTTGTCGTATGTCTGAAAAACTTAGATGTGGTTTTCACATAGAGATTTTCGCCAAGAGAGCTGGTACCTCTATAGTGGCCTCAAGAGGGTTATATACCTGTGCCCGAAGGTGTAGCGATTGTCTCCCACCATCTTAGTTACCATCATTCAAACATTGGCAGCATATGGTCTCTTCCACACCAGACTGGTGCCACTTCACCGACGACTTCCAAACTTCCTGTTATGCCACTAGCAAGACCACCACTAAACCCCCTTGTCACCCCCTCCCCCCCCACCCCCTCTCTCTCCCAGTGTGCTGGCCTAGGCCTCCTCCGCGTCTTCCACATTTGCTTATAAAATATGCTTGCTGTGCCCCGCAATATTAGAGGAAAAAGAGAAAAAAAACAGAGAGAAAGAAAAGGAGAGAAAAATAAAAAGAGCAAAGGAGTCCATGCGGCCCACCAGCCTAGCACTATTCCGTACTGTAGCTCGTGGCACTGTAGCGACCGGGTGCGGTAATGACACTACACTATTCACGAATAATACCACCTCGCCAATTCAACCAGCTTAAATAGGAACATTTGCCGGGTCATTGTATCTCCATTCTAGAATTTTTGTGTTAAAGCCAGGACGAAAACCGCAGTGTGTGTGATACAACCGGATGCGATGGACACAATACCATTTTCAGGCCCTGGACATCATACTTATCCACATATGCATATTGACTAAACTACTGTTTGCGGGTCCTTGGCGTCAGATTACCCACATGTGCATATTGACTAAATATTATTTATGTTTCACTTATGCATGTTGTTAAGTTCTACTATTGTTTATATTCTATGAAGGTGATTATTATGAGTTGTATATGTTGAGAAACTTGGGCTTTGGGCCCATGAAGGCCAGCCCAACACACTAATGGGCCTCATCCTACTTTCCATATATAAGAATTGGCTATATAAAGGGAAGAGATCAATGAGAGACGTTTGTAAACAGTGAAAAGAACGTGAATGAGAATACTCTGTCCCAGCTCATATCATGTGTCTCCATTTGTTAGTACACTTACACAACCCATTTGGATTACTCTATGTAGCAAAGGGATTACATAATACGTTATCAGCAACGACGCTCTACTGGAAACGAAGGTACAAGAAGGTAGAGAACCCCTTGAATCCCTTTGAATCTCCTTGAATGAATTGCAAAATTGAAATCCTCTCTCCATAATAGTTTTGTTTTCACCATTCCTGACGAAATCCACCACAACCGAGTCACCGGCATATGCTGATTGGTGGATATCACGGTCGGTAGAACCTCGGACACTGTTGCGAGCCCGCACCGGCGCCACGCCCCCATGATGAGCCTGCCGCATCACACCCCCGTGATGAGCCCGCCGCACCACACCAACGTCGCGCCCTCGTGGCGAGCCCGTGCCCGCGCTGTACTGTGTCAGCGCCCGCGTCCCAGCGGCGACCCCGCACATGTACCCGGTAGCGAACTCCGCGCCGGACAGAGAGCCTGCGCCGGCACCACACGCCGGCTCGACGAACCTGCAAAGGGAAAGAAGGAGAAAGAAAGGAAAAAGGAAGAACATGGTGATTTTGAAAAAAGGACCCTGTTTTTCCCGAAAATCACACGCAAACCCCTATTATGCGTGGTACTTTGCATGTGGACCCCTGAAATTTTGGAAAACAACTGCATGGAAACTTTGCAAAGGGTCCCTGTACTTTGCAGAAATAACCAAATCTCCATTTCTCAGTATAGAAATGACCTAAGAATTCTGAATTTCAATTATATTTTTGCATTTTAAATATTTGAAGTACTATTTGTGAATTGTATAATGGATTAATATCTTTTATACTTGTTCATGTATGTACTTCTATGCAATGAACTTATGTAATCTCTCACCATTACTTGGAGTAATAACTTGAGATATTTTGTAAACATGTAGATGGCTAAGGTGATGAACACCGAGTCCGCTCCACATGGCGAGACCAGCTTGACATTGATCTCCAATGTGGAAGCCGCATTTGAAGCCATGAAACTTCAACCGATTGCCGAGGCTAGCACCTCTACCAATGAAGGTGGTCACAAGGTGCGAAGGAGGGATAAGGGCAAGAAGGGGAGGAACCCAACCAAGCCCTATGGATAGCAGGACCAAAGGTGCCACAGGTGTGGCGCCTGGGGACATCGGTCTAGGATATGACGTGAATTTGTGCATACCTTTGGTGTTTCAATGCCACAGCCATCTGCACCATCACCCCCACCGGCAGTAGTGGAGGATGATGAGCGGGTGATCATTCACATTAACCATAAAGGCTACCTCACCAGACTTTAGCACCTAGCTATCCTTTGATTTTTTTTTTCTTGAATAAATTAAATGAGAACTCTATTGAATAATGGTTGTAAGCTCTATGAGAGCAAACTTATTTGATTTTTATGCATGACAATATTTATCAATTATGGCATTTTGTTCTATGATTAAGTCTCGTTTACTTATATATCTCATCTCATAGAACGCGTGTGGAGCCTAACATGGAGGAAGTTTGCATTGTGGATAGTGGTAACACAAACACAAAATTAGAAGAAACACGATACTTCCAGACCATAAAGAAACAGGCTGGGACTATCATGACTGGTTGGCATGATAGAATAGGCCATCCATTGTTGGATCAGTTAGAGCCACTATCGTACTCCGCATGGGTACTACACTAAATTGAAGAAGCACTATTGTACCTAGAATCCACAAGAACTCTTAAGTTTCAAAGACATTCGTGCAAACAGTTTTCACGTAGAAACCAGTGATGAGAACAGTAAGGAATACCTACTCATCACAAATTAAAGCACGCGGAATGTGAGAAAAGTATCATGGAGAAACTTCCTCGATTAGTAACAGGGTTATACTACACAAGGATACGAACATCTGCAATGTTCATTACCCTCAAGACTATGTTTAGAAATTCTGAATTATTTTCCCTTTGGCATGACAGAATAGGCCATCCATGTCTTGGAATGATGAGAAATATTATTAACAACTCGCAAGGACATAATATCAACGTGAAAAAATTTCTGAATCAAGAAGATTTCATGTGCCATGCATGTGCCACTGGGAAATTGATCACCAGACCATCCATATGCAAAGTGAAGGATGAAATCCCTATATTCCTGGCACGAATACAGGGGGACATATGTGGCCCTATACAGCCCCTGTCAGGGCCATTTAGGTACTTCATGGTGCTCATTGATGCTTCCTCAAAATGGTCGCACGTGTGCCTACTGTCAACACCTAACCATGCCTTTGCAAAACTGATATCGCAGATCACCCAAATTAAGAATAATTTTTCTGATCATCGTGTTGTTGACAGAAAACACGAGGCCTGGGAGATCTGCTTAACTCCAGTGCAGGTCCAAAGCTCGCCTTCGGGTGTGCTAGCGTGCCAGTTGATTTGATCCTATAACCAACAAGAAGTAGAAGCAAAGAAATTGTAGCGCCCGTTCCGTCGTGGCGCCTAGCGGGAAAACTATCTCTTAAAAACCCTATTTGCGAAATCCGTTTCTTTGCTTGTTGTCTAGTGTCCGTGCCATCTCAGATCTCTAATCCCCGATCTATCGTCGAGTTCAATCCCGAATCCAAATCCTTCCCAAATCAAATCCCTCCGCAAAAGTCTATTTCGCCTCCCTCGGGTTCGATGGGCCGAATCCCTCTCGGCCCATCTTCCCCTCCCTCCCCGGCTCTCTCTCTCTCTCTCCCTCTCCCCCGCTCTGCCCGTGCGCTGCGCACGCGTGCGCGTGAGCCGCGCCGAGCCGAGCGCCCTCCGCCCTTGCTGCCGTTTCCCGCCGACGCCGCCCAAATCGCCGCGCCGCCTGTTGCTTCCCGCGCGCGCATGCGCCATGGTGGCCGACCGGCCAGTCGCCGCCGCCGTCAGCGCCTGCCGCGCCTGCCCGCGCCTGC